CGCACATTTCGAGGATATAACAACGCTTCTGGGCGTTGTCTTTGTGATCGCAGTAGTATATGGTAGGTTTTAACAGTGCTTATGCGGACGGTGTTGTATGTCAACTTTTAACAACGCTCATTGTAATGAGCACTGCTGTATGTCATATATACAACAACACCACCTCCAACAAGCACTATTATATATGTACATGACTTTTAACAACACTCATTGTAATGAGAGCTGTTGATATGTCACCTTTAACAACACTCATTTAATAATACTAATTTTAAATAAGACAAAATCTCTCTCAGACATTTTATCAAACACATAACAAGCATGTCCAATTCCACCACATTTATAAATCATTGCATGAACTTGTCTCCGTTAATTCAAATTCATTAACCCAGAAGATTATATGGAATAATGAAAGGGACGAAAATGATGAAGATGTAGAAGACAAATCCATGAATTTTTCTCCCCCCTAACTGAAGAAATAAGAGGACATAAAGACAAAGTTCAGATTCAATATAACAAGAATGAAATCAAAATTTACATAGAAAATATGGATGAAAAAATAATAACCAAAAACAAGAAATACATATAGAGATTGCAAGTTTGGTAAATCATCAATAGCTTCATGTAGATTCAACCTTCACATTTCATGTACTATAAAATAAGGAGTTAACATAGATGTAAATACAAGCAGCAAGAGTGAATCAAATAGAAATAGTGTAACTCAACCCGATTCAACCAACTCAAAGACAAACTTGGGGTGACTCTCTCACCCATCGGTTTGAATGGGGGAATTAGAGACAAGATCCCCTAATGTGTGGACCCAATAATTGTCTTGACACTGTCAATCATTGTAATTAGTGTAATTACCAATCAATGAATGTCAGCATTATTTGTAGCATCTTAATGTTAGCATTAATCATAAGATCATGTATTGCTAGCATTTTCTATATATGTACACTGTAATCATCATATCAATATATCATTCTTTATCTCTTATTACATTTTCTAACTTGTACATATCATAATGAGGACTTAAGGTGTTTATACAGCGGAATAGATTGTTGCACAGTATTGACCACAAGCAATCAAATAAAGTGCAAAAGAATAAGAAGAGAAGAAGAGAAAAAGATAAGAGAATTTGTTAACAGGGTTTGACCAATTTGTGCCTACATCCCCAATAATAGTGAGCGACTACCAATATATTATTAGAGAATAATAATTACAAACTCTAGCATACCCATAGTCCCAAATGCACATAGGGTGCTTCTAATATTTGGTGCTTATAATTGGTGTCATGCAAGTAATAACAAGATACTTTAGTCCAATATATAACTTCAGTTTCGCTCCTCCATTCTAATACTTGTCAATGTGGGACTTCATAAAATAGTATATTTCAAGTATCCTCAATAATCTCCATCTTGATTGAAAAAGACGAATATATCACTCCTTAGGAAACTACAAATGAGCATGCTCTCCTTCAACACAAGCTTTTATGAGTATCTTCAACAGTATTATTGACAGCCCATCTCTCGAAAGTCGAAGTGCATGTTCTCGTACAACTGTCTAACAAAACACATTGCACACCTCTCCATTGTTAGGACTCCTTTCGATATTATGGAACCACTACACCAAATTTCACCAACAACTATCCTCTTCAATACTCACTCAAGTTGAACCTTGGAGCTTCCTTGGAAAGCCTCAACTACTACCACTATTGTCTACTTCGACAATCATACTTCAAAAGAACTATCATGCTCAATCATAAGGAGTATACCCATAGAATACACCTTTTATCAATGTCAACCAATGTTCATGTAACACCCTTGAATTAAAGCTAATTCCAATGTCATACCTTGCATCTCTACCAATGCATGTGTGATAAGTGCCAAATTGTTCTTAAATTCTAATGACATTTATTTATCTTGATGAATCAAGTCAAAAACCCAACTTATTGAATAAATTGGACATTAAGTAAATAATTATTTAATACGTATTTTCTGAGTTATTTGAACTATGGGTGGAATAAAAAGAAGAGAAATTGATCAAAAATGAAATTGACCCAAAGAACCAAGCCAAAAGTGCAAGAAAACAAGAATTAGCTTAGCGGCAAGCAGTTAGCTGGGTGGTTGGCTCATAACAGGAAACCCCATTTGAATGGTAAAGTAAGGCATTCGGCGCCCAAAAACAAGGTTGGACACCCCAACCAGAAATCTATAAAAGGAGGCCTTCACCCCTTTCATTCATGCATCATTCTATTCCACTTCAATTCAATAGACATTTCATCTTCACATCTCTTAGTCTCTTAGGTACATACTTTCACTTAGAATTCGGAGAGTATAAGAGTAGGGAAAGTGAGATTGAAAATCTTGTTCTTGAATTTTCTGTTTCGTTACCTGGACCTTCCTTCTTTTTGCATATCATCTCTGGCTTGCTTAGTCTACTATTGCATTTAAGTCGGCCCAGTGGCGGAGCTAACAGCAGAAAAGCCTTTTTAAAATTTTAGGGATAGTTAAATTCCGGATCGAAGAGATTCACCCGTAACGTAATAAGGGGGCAAAGCCAGAGGCAAGGCTATACCTCTATCTGTATGGGGGAATTTTTTGCTAAAGCTTCTCGATCCGGGAAGGAACTGCTCGCTACTACTACATACGATGCACTATTGAAAGGCTCGACCCGGCCCGGAATCGGAATCGGAATCGGAAGAGCAATCCAGGCATTTTGAAATCGTGATCCAAAGATAGTCCTAGTCGCCATAGTCAGAGATTTAGATGTAGTTCCGGATGATCCAGATCCAGTCAATTTAGCAGTCGCGCTCTTGCCCCCGAGTCTTGGTTTGGGAAGCATGTGAATTGGAATGTACTATCCTCCCGACTGGCCAACGAATGACGCAAGCGCGACAGGTAGAAAAATTCATGATGTGACCATGACTCCCAAACATATCGACCCGAGTTGCGGAAGCGGAATAAGATATTCTTTTTTGAGAAGGGAGCGAGTCGAGTAAAAAAGGCACGATCTCGAGGCAACAAAAGGAGAAGTGGAAGCATAGGGGGAAATCGAATACACAAACCAAAGGTGAAAAGCAAGATGAAATGCACTTTTCTCGACTTGAAAACTGAATTTTCGGTAAGTAAGGCTGCTCTAACCTATTAATTTCGCGTTTTACTTTCGTAATCGAGGAGGTCCCAGCACTAGAAAGAGAAAGAAGAGCGTTTGATCTACTAATAGCGGTAGCGGCATAAGAACAGCAACTATACTGGCAATTGCTTCAACCTAAGCAAGACGCATTAAAGGATGTTAAATATATATCTTCTCAGGCACAGTTGCTTTCCTTGATTTTGATTCGGGCACAGTGTCTTCGACAAATCGTTGTCTCCAAACCTTAACTACTTAACTTAAGTACGGCAGCTTTCGGTTGGTAAATAAGGGGGCTGTTCACTACAAGCTATCAGCGCTGTCTTAGATTGAACGTCGACTTATCTTTATCTTATTGCCGTTCAATCTCTAAGGCGGGTTGACACTGAGAACGGAAGAGTGTTCGTGTCCAAAGGTGAACAACGCCCTAGCTTCTAGAGTTCGCTGCTTTTCCCAGGCCGGAGAAGGGCTTATACTGCTCGCCTTTGTTTGATATGTTCATTCAGTACCAATACAAAGAAAAACTACACCAAAGTGGAAAGGCCCCTATAGAAGTTAGAAGTAACCTCTAGTAGTCTAGTAGTCGGCCTAACCAAAACGTCACGACAACAGAAAATTACCCTTATGAATTAAATCTTAAGTAGGGGGCTTAGCCCGCCCGCCTACCAATCAAAGAGGCTGAGAGTTAGCGTAAGCTCGAAGAGCTTACCTTCATTCGCTTCGCGGGAGCCGCACAAGATATAGCTGGAAGTCAGAGGGGCCATACTACCTGCCTAACCCCTCGCTCCGAGGGACCTTCGATCGGACGTTATAAACCACCCCATTCATCTAAAAGAGAGGGGAAGGGGCTTATGTATTTGCATGACTCCTGCGGATTTTACCCTATCTACACCCGGAGCCAATCTCCTATCGGTCCTGCAACTTGTCCTATTCCTTATACTCTTTCTCTTTTCTCGAGACAATAGATGTAATCGTCTTCAAAATCTGAGATGGCTTAGTCCCTTTCAAACATACTATATTAATTAACATTCGTCAATCTCCGACAGGTACCCGGCAGTAGCCGACATTGATTCCTTTTAGTAGACGTAAGAAAGGCGAATCCCATGAGGCTGTTCGTGAGCAGAGAATTGCCGGTAGGACCAATGTTGAGGACTCATTCATTCGACTAAGAATCATAGTAAACACCTTATTGGGATGTATTCTTTGGCAAAGTCCCTTCCTGATTTGACCCCGAAGGATGTCCCTCTTTAGTTTAAGGCTTATCCCTTTCAGTATAGAGTATAGCAAGGCCGTACCTGGTACTATCATTCGAAGATTTGAAAAGCCTTAGTTCCATTTCCCTTATTCACTAGAACGGATGTAAATTGTATTTCTTAGTCACCCCTATCTATTGAGTCATTTATTCCCAGACTTTTGAGAATCTGTCGTAAACCCCAGCGGTACCATCTCCTCTTGGTCTAGCCACCGGCTTCCCTTTCAAGAAAGTATTCCATTCTACACCTTTACCTTTCTTTCCTAACAGAATTACTCCCTCCTACTCCTACCTTGCTTAACTAAGGCTTTCTCATGCTTTGAATGCCGGCCTATTTAGGGGTCCACGACCGTCTAAATCGACAGAGACCTGTACCTCATTCTCAGCACCCCTTAAAGTCTCAGGCTATTTCGCCCTTAGCTCGGCGTTCATCTTTCCGGTCTAACTCAACGATGAGCTCTTTAGATGTTCAGTCTGTTCGGACGGATATGACGTTGCATGTCATCATCATGGGAACCTCATCATCGCTGCTATCCTCGGGTCTTTTTTTCAGATATCCGTCTGCAGGCTTAGATGACTACAACTACTGGCGCTTCAAAAGGCTTAGATTGATTCTAAGGGCGCTACAGCAAGCTACCTTTTTTTAGGTCGTGTAATAGGGAGGTGTCAGCCTCGAAAGCCTTTAGTACTTCGGTAGGGCGAGCAGCCCTTAAACAAAAAAAAAGGTTTGGAACTCTTCCCGTATTTCTGCATTTCATTCTCTATTCGGCCCGCCTCAAAAAATAATAATAAAAAAGGATAGGACTATGGATTCGAAGTCACTACGAAAGGGTCGGTCAATAGCATAGCTCTTTCTTTCCCCGGTCTCCTTTCGAAGGAAAGGCCTTCACATTCCTAATTTGGAACCGGTAGGGGGCCGGACGGCTTTCTTTGCCCCAGCTTGACTAATCGCATCCCCGCGCAACGACATTCTTTGTGCGCCCCTTACCGTTCTCGCTTAGTCTTTGCAACGGCTGGGGAGGCAGTCGCAGAAGCGAAGCCTATCGCCACGCCGACCATCAAATACGAGATTGGGCCCCTTCTCAAAGATTTGATGGAATGGCCCAGCCCACCCAAGAGCGCTTATGTAATATGGGAACTCATGGCTGGAAACAATCCTTATGGTTTTGATATCCGGTAGGAATAATCAGAATCAAAGTCCAGGTTGGTTGGCTAGCCTAGTGATAGGAGACTATCTAGCTTGGTTCGGAGAGCACTTGTTGGGTTAAAGATTTTTTTGTTGCTAAATGTTACGGCCTAAATGCTGAACTATTGACCCTACTTGTTCGGATGGGTGTTCACCCCAAAGTGTTCCCGGACCGCATGCATACATACGTAAGTAACTTAGTGCAACATGGCAAATTAAATTGAGAGGAATCCGCAAAGAAAATAAAAAGGGGTCAACATCTTATTTTGTATTTTTTAGAGATTGTCCTCGGCTCGGGCTGAGGAGTGTCCACATGAGTTCGTTGAGGTGTCTACACAGGTTCGAAGACGCTCTTTTATATTCTGTCGAGAGTTCGGATTGCTCCACCTAAGTAGAACGAAAAGAAGGAATTGGAAATTCGGGGAGCCAGAAGCTTCGCTTCCGGTAGCTTGCTTACTCTCCTAGTTAGAAGAAGGCTCTTTGGCTAATTCTTTAGATCTGGGTAGAGTCTCGCTCAGTAAAGAGAGTTGTAGATTCTTAAGATCATGATAAAGTCCCATTTACTTTATATTCTATTAGTAAAGCGCTAGCGCTACAACTAGCATAGCAGCCTGCAGAAAAGGCTCAACGAGCCCCGTACTCCTAAGTTGGAGCAACAAGCAACGGATTGAGCGCATCTTTCCCCTTTCTATTAGTAAGGTTGTCAAAAGGTAGGTTTCTGACTTAGTGCTTGTGCTAAGGTTTGAAGACGCTCGACCCTTCTATATTATATAAATAATTAAGGCAAGCAAGGTAAACAAACCCCCACGCCTCCTTTTCTTATGGGGGGGGCTTTTCTTTGACGAAAAAAGGAAAGCCTCCATTACTAATAAAGGGCTAACGCGCATCCCTTGATCTCCGCCTAACCGGGGCTAGGCGTCTTTCAGTTTTTGGTTCCTGACTTGATGGGATGGGAGTCACAAGGCTTTAAAGAAGGCCGAGGAGCGGGGTTGAACGAGATTCGCTTTGGTTAATTTACCTTGCTCATATATCAAGGCTGAGTCTAACTCCTTATTTATGTTATGACTCGGAAAGAAAGATGTGCTTTCTGATACACTGGACTAAGGTGACTAACCCACAGGACCAGAGATGAGACTGAGACTGAGAGAACGATTTGTCGAAGACACTGTGCCCGAATCAAAATCAAGGAAAGCAACTGTGCCTGAGAAGATATATATTTAACAGCCTTTAATGCGTCTTGCTTAGGTTGAAGCAATTGCCAGTATAGTTGCTGTTCTTATGCCGCTACCGCTATTAGTAGATCAAACGCTCTTCTTTCTCTTTCTAGTGCTGGGACCTCCTCGATTACGAAAGTAAAACGCGAAACTAATAGGTTAGAGCAGCCTTACTTACCGAAAATTCAGTTTTCAAGTCGAGAAAAGTGCATTTCATCTTGCTTTTCACCTTTGGTTTGTGTATTCGATTTCCCCCTGTGCTTCCACTTCTCCTTTTGTTGCCTCGAGATCGTGCCTTTTTTACTCGACTCGCTCCCTGCTCAAAAAAGAATATCTTATTCCGCTTCCGCAACTCGGGTCGATATGTTTGGGAGTCATGGTCACATCATGATTTTTTCTACCTGTCGCGCTTGCGTCATTCGCTGGCCAGTCGGGAGGATAGTACATTCCAACTCACATGCTTCCCAAACCAAGACTCGGGGGCAAGAGCGCGACTGCTAAATTGACTGGATCTGGATCATCCGGAACTACATCTAAATCTCTGACTATGGCGACTAGGACTATCTTTGGATCACGATTTCAAAATGCCTGGATCGCTCTTCCGATTCCGATTCCGATTCCGGGCCGGGTCGAGCCTTTCATTAGTGCATCGTATGTAGTAGTAGCGAGCAGTTCCTTCCTGGATCGAGAAGCTTTAGCAAAAAATTCCCCCATACAGATAGAGGTATAGCCTTGCCTCTGGCTTTGCCCCCTTATTACGTTACGGGTGAATCTCTTCGATCCGGAATTTAACTATCCCTAAAATTTTAAAAAGGCTTTTCTGCTGTTAGCTCCGCCACTGGGCCGACTTAAATGCAATAGTAGACTAAGCAAGCCAGAGATGATATGCAAAAAGAAGGAAGGTCCAGGTAAGGCCTAACCACTGTTTTCAGATGCAGATGAAAGGGGGGGGGTGCCATTTTAGTTCTATGAAAAACCGATGCGACGCGGAGAACCCTTTTCCATACCAAGTTATCGTCTAACGGTTTGAATTGAAAGAAAGAACCTTTACTTTTTGAGGTGAGACCGCGAAGTGCAAAGCCCTCAATCAAGACTTGATAAATTGCATCTATCACAATCCAAGTCCTCCCCTTTTTAGTAAGAGGGGCTAGCTTCCCTTCTTTTCTGGATCTTGACTGGGTGAGTAAGGGTACCAAGAAGGTAAGCTGACTCCTGAGGAATCCCCTGGCCTTAGCTCATCTAGCCGTAGCTCATTGGGTGGATTGCTTTTCATAGCCAAAGTCTTTTGAAAGAGAAGAATCGACATTCTTGGATTAGGCTGCTGCTAGATTTTATTTAAGATAAATAATAAGGAGAAAGGCTGCCTTAGGTTTAGGAGTTTCGAGTTCTCTCTGCTTTCATAGCCTAGTTTCGTAGCCTTGGTGCCTAGCCTTCTGCTTCTGATCCCGGGATAATAAAAAAAGAAGAATGGCTGTTGTTGAATTAGCTGTGAAAGATGCTATTGCCTAAGTTGATGTTGGTGTAATAGACCCTACGGGAGCCCCATGAAGGCAAATTTATCTGTCCGGCTATCCCCCCTATGTCACCAATTGTTGCAACGAGGGTGACGTCATTGAGGCCCTCAAGGACATGCTTAGCAAAGGTATGAGAAAATGTCGCCAGTTCTATAAAGTAAAGGGCTGGAGAGTCGAAGAGCGCACTTTGGGACTGAAAAAGATGACTCATATTCTATTGTGAATTATCCGTCTTCTTGTTTTTACTAGAATTATTAGTTGACGCTGATGGTTTACGTGGGTAGCTTTGAAACCACTTGTCTCCCTCTTTAAGGTTGCTCCAGAAAATATAAATCCTGATGTCGGTGCCGGTATAGGCTTGATCCAGTTACGCAAGGTCTAGCATGTGTCCTTGATAAGGGCTCTATGCCAGGGCTTCCATAAACTTATGCACTCCTCTTTGGTGATAGTGACCCTAGGCCATGGACCTTTCTTCTCTGAGTCCGCAGATGCTTCCGTCAGACTTGGCCTCCTCCATGCCTCCTTTCTTCTTCATCATCCGATTCCGATTCCGATTCCGATTCCGAACCTGAGCGATCGGAGGGTTCTCCTTAAAAAAAGGGTATCCTTTCAAGATATGTCACCCCAACCAATTGGGCCAGTTGGGATTGGGGGGCATTAGTGATCCCTTCCACAGGTTCTATGTATTTAACCTGGGAAATATCATGACAGCCAAAAAAATATCCCGATGAGCGGCGTTTACACTTCTTGGTGCTACGAGAGAGGAGATCATCCTCTTCGGTTGCAGGAGAAGCGACCACAGATTGGATTTCTGACGACATGGGAGCTCTGATGGTGCTGAAGGCCAGGCCTGGTCGGTTTACTTTATTCCCTCCCGTCTTTTGTCACTCGAGGTCTAGCTTTCCCTTGGATGACTTTGCATCCTTCCTGCTTGAAGGAAAGTGCCGCACTCTTTCTTGCCACTCGGAGATAGCCTTTTCGATCTTATTGGCTTAAGCAGACCATTCGTGAGCAGCAGATTCCAACAACTGATATTGCGATTCTTCTTGAACTGACCTTTCATGAGGGAACGATATTGATCCTCATTCATCTATATGTAGCTTTGTCTCTATCTATGATGCTATAAATCATCTTGATATAGCAGCGGAGAAAGAATGCTGCCTTTCTGCTCTTTCTACCTTTGCTTCTCCTGCTTGGGTCTCGCTCACGGATCTCAACCACGAGACTAAGAATCATGCTTACGAGGCTATCTCGATCTCTATTGTGCAGCCTGAAGTGGTTAGTCTGGTTATTAAGGAGGATCAGATGTCTGAGACGGATTAAGTGGTTGATAGTGAGCAATCGGCTAAGGGAGGATGCAAATTTATGAATTATCGTTCCAGACAGCGACGGAGGATGGTGTAGAATTCGAACAACACTCCTTTGACTTGCTATCTAAGAGACTAGCCTGGAGAGATAGGAAAGACGCTCTGCTCAAAAGGGATACTGAAAAAAAAAGTCGATGCCCCTATGAGGGATTGACAACTTGATGTCGCAAGATCGGTTGTTAAAAGACTAAAGCCCACCTTCAAGCTAAAAGTCTAGTAGTATTAATTACTTATTCTTCTTCCGCCATACCCAAGAGTCATTAACTCCCTAAAGATATTTGAGAAGAGTAACTAAGATAAGAGTTGTTATAGGATTTAACGAAAATCGGTTTATAGTAAGTGTGCCGCTAATTGGCATACTCTTTGTTGTCGATTAGAGACCTTCCTTGCCCTGCTTAGGGCTATGTGATAGCACCAAAAGGGGGACGACCTATTCTATTTGAACAAGACCACAGAAAAGTCATACGGTCAAGCGAACCAAAGCCAAAGCTAAATCCTCTTCCCTTCGCTCCTTCCCCGGCTCCACTCCAGAGCAATGCCATGATCCGGTTGAGAGCCTTCCATGCGGATTCCTTCAAAGAGAAAGAGAGAGTTTGTATTCCCGGCATCAATGCAAAAACTTCCTGGTCCTTCAAAGAGAAAAAGAGCAATTCTTGGTCCCACCAAACCATGCCATGAACAGTCGACTCAACAAGAAAGAGCAGGGGATATTGAAACTAAGACTCATTCCGTCTATTGCTCTAATGCCCTTCCTCCTACAGATGAAATTGCATCGTTGATTCCTATTCCGGCAAAACTAGCTGCTGACTCAACCTCTCCTCGGGTCTACGCCCTCTTTGTTTTAGCATCGGCGATTGAAAGAGAGTAGGAGCGCATTCTCTCCATCTCAGTTGGAAAGTATATCGCTCTCAGCAGCAGTTCCTTGGTCAAGCTTTCCCTCGGTGATGACTAGCAGTCCTTCCTGATTGAGTTCTCACCCTCTATTGATAGATCAAGAGTTCCGGCCCGGCTATGATTCCATCAACAAACCCGATTCGGTATAAAAGCTTAGCTTCTATTACAAGAATCTATTTTGAAAAGAGCTATCCTAAAGCTTGACGGGTCTCCCCAACTCTGTTTTTAACTCGAAAACCGAAAGCATAAGGATGAGCCTTGGGCCCCCTTTCCCAAGAGCAGAAGGAGCGTTTAGATACTGTACCTTTAGGTGCGTGCAGGAGCAAGGACGAAAGGAGAACAAGTCGCAGGAGAAGCGTTGAAGAAGCAGTAGTTTCAGCCATTGATCCTGCAGCTTCTCAAAAGAAGCACCAGCAGACAGAGGTAGATACAGAGCCATAGGCAAACCTTCATGATAGCCTTTTATGAATACGACCCTCGTGCTTGAGAGGCGGATCCAAAGGCAGTCGCTTACCTAGGAGCATACTTCGGTGTAGCATATATAGCGGCATAGCCCTTTGACCTAGGAATCCTAGAAAATATATCTATTGAAACCCACCATAAGTATCTGGGGAGACAGCAGCGGATACAGATTTACCATAAGCAAAAGCGGCTACTAAGGCGAAGGCAAATAAGGTTCCGTTCCATGGAAGGAAAAATAAATGGAAATCAAAATCAGAAAAGGTCTGATCAAATCTTTTGCTTTCTTCTTGTCTTGAATTGTTATAGAACGGCTTTATATAAGGTATAGTTGGTAGGATGAAGTGGGATGAAGCCTTAGTGGATATAGCAAGTGTGCCGGGGATGCGGCTCGGATATCTTATCTCTATCAATGGAATATGTGCAACATTCTTTAACTCTCAATCTTATCTTATTAATCTATGCAAGTTATATGCTCTGATTTTATTGATGTAATCCTAAATTCCTAATGCTTATTTTAGAATGATCGTCTAAAATATAATTTGGATTTAGATTTTTTTTATGAATGTGTCATCAAATGAAGCTAAGATCTAGGGATAGACTTAAATTATATGTCACAATTACATCTAAACAAGGCAACTTGTTTCTAAGGCTAATAAATATATTGATGATGCTAAAATGAGGATGACAACTTATTTTCCAAAGGCTAATGAAAGGGTTGATAGTTGTAAAACAAGGTTTGAATATTATCTTTCTTGTATGTGGGACCGTGAGAAAATTAACAAATGATGTATGATAAAATCAAGCATAAATACATAGCTTTCATATTGAATCATGGTGATATTGAAATGTTTAAGAATTTATTTTCCATTTCCAACAAATATTATTCTCTTGAATTTATACATAGTTTATTTCTACTTTTACTTTAATTAAAGTTGAAGATAACATAAAAAACAACTCATGATTGAATTTCATTGCTATTGATTTAAAATTAAAGTAAGGCACAAATTTCCATTCCAATTGCATGTGGGATGGACATAGCCCTATACTATACTACAATTGAATCTTGAAAGGATTCA